TTTCCTGATTCGCAACATCAAATTTATCACATATCAAAACAGCATCTGCGTTTTAAGTCTGAGAGGAAAATTATAAGCATAAAGCAACACTGAAAGACAACCTCCCCGCTCCTCTCACTGGAGGAAACCCTGGCCACACCAGTGTCACCTTGTCAGAGCAGGTCTGCAACCTGCAACCATTTCCCAACACTTGGGAAAAGCGGTACAGAAAGCCACCCTGTCCTCCTGTGCTGTATTTAGTAAACGCACACGGAAGGAGCAGTGCATCTTCCTCTTCCCAGGGCAGACACCATGGCACCTGAGACAGATGCTCTCGTGTAAAACAATCAGGGCACTGGATAAATACAACTCTGATGCTTTGGTATCCCAAACAGATTTAATGTGTGGTACAACCAAGGTAATAATAGTATGTGGTATGTGTGACATCTTCCTTATAAACAGTAAACCAAGTTTTATTTAGAGTCAACGTTGGCTAGAATCTTAGAGCATCATAATCTTTAAATAAATTACAACAGCTAGACCCTACGAGGGTGGTTCTTGACCTTCACTGGTTTTTCCTGCTTGCTTTAAGGATTTAAAATAATTCAACTTTCTGTACAAGAACTCTTAAGAGTAAGCCACTAGAATCATACGAATGACAGAAAGGATCATTGTCGTCACCATCCCTAACAGCAGGAGCAGCTACCATTTGAGAGCTTTTTATACAACTTTATGAGATCAAAATTATTTTGGTTTTTACTGGGAATTATTCCCAAAATAACTCTTTATTCCCAAATGAGAAATTTGAGACTTGGAGAGGCTTAGCAACCAACCCAAAGCCAGGACACGAGTAGAATGTGGCAAGACCAAGATTTAAACAAATATTCCATGCTACAAAAGTTCATTCTCTTTCTGCTCCTCTTCATAGTCTTATGAGATAATGGAACTGTCTTTGAAATAACTGATTAAAAGGTAAACTAAAACAGCGACATGAAATTTTCGATGACTACATTAGCCAACAATTTAAAAAACAGTACCCAATGTTGACCAGACTATGACAAAGCCAGCACTCTTTTATGTTGTCAATCATGGTATAAATGGATATGAAACTTCTGGAAAACAATTTGGTTATTTCAGTGAAGTGACTACAAATATTCATGTTTGATTTACTCACACCATTTTTAAGAATCTATCACAAGAAACTTCCACAAACCTTGAAAGTGATAATTGTAAAGGTGTTCATCATGGAATCAGTTATGCGATACAGAAGCACCCCACATACTCAAGAGGAGTAGTTAAATGTTGCTGCATATGCTAAATGTCCTAGTCATTAAAAGTGATTACTTCTGTTAAGTGACAAAACAGAATCTAAAGCTACCTGAATTTTATTTAAAATCGCAAATTTAAAAAAACTAAGGGGTGATTTCTAAACCTCTAAATGCTAAACTATTTAGAATTTAGCAAACTGCTATAATTGACTGTTTTACTAAAATGAAACGATATGAAGTTGGTCAACTTAATCTTCGCCACTGTTCGTTGCTTTAGAAAAAAAAAAACTCTCTCAAAGCCCTAAAATTATTTAAAATTATTTAAAATTTAATGCTCAAGGGAACATGTTTGTACGTGGAGGAAATGTCTTCTGTATGATCTAAAAGATGATCATTTGCAAGCAGAATACGAAGAAGTCAAGGTGCTTTGTAGTCATAGAATATGACAGCAGGAGAAACCTTAGTGATCAATCATTTCAATTACACAGAAAAGAAAACTAATATCTAAGAGGTTACATGATCCACTCAAAGTCACTGGCTGTTTGGACACCATTTCTTAGCATCAAAGCTGTTCCTTCAGAAGCCAACTACTCTGACTTTTCTTCGGCAGGCTCATCACAATATCAGGTTAGTCTTAAGTAATGATAATAACTAATAATCAACTAGAAAAACCTGGAAAAGTCATGATTTATAATTTTTGGAAAATACATGTTCATGCCACATAATCTAGATTAAATCACAATGTTGACCCCTTAAAAGACATCTTTTTTCACTGCAATTACTAGAGCATGGATAACTAAGAGTTAACTGGAGACAGGCAGTCACAAACTCTGTGCCATTTCTACTGAAATATGCCCCATTTCTCCGCTATGGTTAAAGGATTTGCCAAACAAAACCACACAATTCTTACTTTCCATTTCTTTTCTCACTTAATCAGGAGTTAATTTGCCATTCTGATAACCAAACCTGTCAAGGGTGACTGATACGTCAAGGGTCAAGGATATGCTTTGGAAATAAGGCTTGATGTCAGCACAACAATGTGACAAGGGAAAACACCTAACGCTAACAGTTTTTCTCTATAGTAGAAAGGAGATATATAACTGAGGATTATCATTCACTATGCCTGTCAGAAGAAATATCCTTTATAATAGTTTACGTGATCATAGACTTCAGACGTAAATTAAGATGGCCTTTCCAAGTTTCATATTTAATTCAAATTAAAACAAGTATATTAGATCTATTTAGCCAGCCCCTTTACTGTGACCACTATCAATGGCAGCTTTCAAAGCACTGAAAACTCACACACAAATACTTACCAAAAGAACTACAAAACTTACTTTCGAAAACCACAAAAAATTGTTGAAAGATATTAAAGAAGACCTAACTAAAAAGGAAGACATCCCATATGTATGGATCAGAAAACTTAACATTGTAAAGATGGCAATACTCCACAAATTCTATAGAAATCCCAGCTGACTTTACAGAAATTGTCAAGCTGACCCTAAAGTTCACATGGAAATTCAAAACATCTTGAAAAAGAAGAACAAGTCAGAGGACTCATACTTTCTGATTTCAAAACACTACATCACAGTAATCAAGACAGTGTGGTACTGGGAAGGACAGACACATCGATCCACGGAATAGATTTGAGAGTCCACAAATAAATCCTCACATTTACAGTCAAGTATTTTTTAACAAAAGTGCCAAGACATTTCAATGAGGAGAGAATGGTGTTTTCAACAAACGGTGCTGGATATCTGCATGCAAAAGAATGAAGTTGGACACCTTACTTCATATCATACACAGAAATTAACTCAAAATGGATCAAGGACCTAAGTGTAAGAGCCAAAAGCATAAACCCTTAGAAGAAAACATAGGCATACGTCTTCATGAGCTTGGATCAAGCAATGGTTTCTTAAATATAACACCAAAAGCCTAAGCAACAAAAGGAAAAATAGATAAATTGGATCCTGTCAAAATTAAAAATGTTTGTGCTTCAAAGGGCACCATCAAAGTGAAAAACCAACCCACAGAACGGGAGAAAATACTTGCAAATCACCAATCTGATAAGGGTGTAGTAGTCAGAATATATTAAGAAGTCCTGCAACTCTATGATAATAACAAATAATTCAATAATGGGCAAAGGATTTGAATAAATGTTTCCCCAAAGAAGATATACAATGGCCAATAAGCTTATGAAAAAATGCTTAACATCATCAGGCATCAGGGAAATGCAAATGCAAACTACAAGGAGATACCACTTCATACCCACTAGAATGGCTATAATAAAAAAAGACAGACAAAAGCAAGAAAGTGTCGGCAAGGATGAGGAGAAACTAGACTCCTCAGACGCTGCTGGTGTAAATGTAAAATGGCGCAGCCACTTCAGAAAACATTCTGGAAGTTTCTCCATTAACCACAGAGTTATCAGATATCTAGCCTTCTCTGATAAAGGCTATCCTATTTTCTAACATGAACAAAGTCATTCTACAACGTTAGCCATCATTCTCTCCTAAATATTAGGACATGCTAGAAATTTAAAACAAAAGAAAATTAAAATCTCCAAGCGCGCAGAATAGTTTCTTTCATTTTTTTTTTTTTTTAATTAGAAAAGCTTTAGTAAACATATATATTCAAACTCAGACTATTGGGGAACGTTAGATCTGCTTTAAGAGGCTACCAAAGGTTAGCAGTTGCGATATAATTCCCTCACACTTCCCTGCCTTACTAAGCCGAGGAGACTGAACACACATCTTGCAGCATCGAGGATTTTAGCTGTTCCCTACGTAACGTGATCCACCCTCTTCTCTTTAACTGCCCTCTATGTACAGGGGGTCACAAATTTACCCCTCCTAGATCACGCCCTTTAACCAGGCCTCTCGCAGGACCACGTAACCCTCCTTCCCAAAACTGACTGCAATTGTGATTTTATGTTTATTTGTGCAATTCTTGGACTTTCCTGTAAGCTTCCTGAAGACAAAGCCCTTGTTCATTTTTGGCTCACCACCATAGACTTAGCACCCGGTTCCGCCACAATGCACGATAAATTGTAATCCATGTGCTATAAGAATCTTTCTCCTCTTTAACTGGCGTTCTAACCGTCAATGGATTTAGACGCTACGCAATTGTCTTATAACTGCATATTAAATAAGAGAATGTATGTAGTGTCCAGGGACCTGATTAGCCATAGAGAAAACATAGGGACTGTAGTGACTACGTTTTGTGAAATCTTCTACGGCTTCTCGCGAGGCAGTTTCTTGATTCCCAGTTCTGGTTCAAACGGGGGAGGCTGCGGGCTGTCTTAGAGACAGATGTGAGTTTGTTCAATAGAATTATAAAAAAGAGGAGAAAAATGATAAGCTGTTGAACTGTTAAAAGGTGTTCAAACCTGATCTTGCGATTATTTAACAATTAAAGACTATGCAACTTTAAAACAGTATTCGTCTTGGAAAAAAGTATATTCTTCACTTCAATTTAGACCACATTTTTAAAAATCACTGTTTTAAAAACTAAAACTATCTGTTATTCATAAAATGCCTTTTTGTGTCGGATGGCTTGTCAGTCATGCTCACTAAGCTTTAACCCAATGCTGGCCCAGGTCATAAGCAGTTACGTTTATGCCACAAACCTGAAATTCTATTTATAAGCATACTAGTGAAGAGTCACTGTAAATACATTTAAATATTTGCCATGATAACATGACTTTACAAAAAGATTCTTTTTTCTCCATCCATATTTAAAGTGGTCACTTACCCGCATTAAAAGCTGTAAAAAGACTTTTTCTTGAAGGACCTAAAATATAAAAGAAACATTTTTAAAATACATTTATGTTTTATATGAAATATCACACAAAAATAAATCATTTAAGAAATAAAGGTTGTTTTAAATTTTCAAAAACAATCCATTAACATGTAAATTTTAGGTTCCTGGTGGGAAATACCACTGAGATACAACCAACTTTATTAAGTATATTCTAAGGATAAAATGAGATTCCAAATAACATCAAAACGGTAGCTTAGGGGCTGGCCCGGTGGCGCAGCAGTTAAGTTCACACGTTCCACTTCGGTGGCTCCGGGTTCGCCGGTTCAGATCCTGGGTGCAGACATGGCACTGCTCAGGGCCAGTCTTCCTCAGCAAAAAGAGAAGGATTGGCAGTGGTTAGCTCAGGGCTAATCTTCCTCACAAAAAAAAAAAAAAACAAAACACAAAAAACGGTAGTTTTAGAGTGATATGAATTCATCATTGCAAAGATGATCAGTTTTAACATGGCAATCTACAGTACTTTTCTAGTCAAGAATAGCTGAAATTCAAATTTTAACAGAACTGAATTTACACATTTATTACATACATAATGCTATTTCACTGCTGACAGAGCAAAAAAGGCCTGATTTTATAAAAGCCAGTCACCAGTGTGTAATTAACTTGCTATTCACACTTGCTATTCAGCTATGAAGGCAAACATACTTAAGCTTTTTCTCCTAACTGATACAATATAAAACACAACCAGGCGAATCCTTTCACAATGTATGTATATATCAAATCATCAAACATATTAAAACTATTTGTCAATGATACATCAATCAAGCTGGGGGGAAACATACAACCAGCAGTGGTAACAGGTACACAGCTACAGAGATAAGCCACTGGAGGAAAACTACCAAGTGCTTCTACTTGGCATGAAATAGTCACTTTAGGGCACTAATAGGTCACTTTAGGACCTGAAGATCACTAGTTAGAACAGCTGCCACATCCTATAAGTGGATTTTAGAGATGATAATCTCTTAAAATCTGTGGCCATTATAAACGGAAAGCACTGATTCCCACTCAAGTAGAACCTTTGTGATACAAAAGCTTACAAATTCAATAGTGAGATGTTTTAGCATACTAGAGTTACTGTTCAAGTTATCAGTAGAACCATGAAGTTCTAATTCTCTGAAAGTTCTTAGTATTAAAGTTCAATGACGTTTCTTTTCAGCTATTGGGGTATACGTCGATTATGGGGCTTTATCATCATCAATAAAAACCACAGATTCACAGGCTGATGTCACCCCAGCAAGACGTCCTTTCATGCCTCAGAAGTTTATTTAAGACCCTGGAGAGATGAGAACCTGCTGGCACACTGAAGAATCTTTTTTTTTTTTGGAGGAAGATTAGCCCTAAGCTAACATCCGCCACAAATCCTCCTCTTTTTGCTGAGGAAGACTGGCCCTGAGCTAACATCCGTGCCCATCTTCCTCTACTTTATATGTGGGACGCCTGCCACAGCATGGCTTGACAAGTGGTGCCACATCCGCACCCGGGATCCGAACCAGCGAACCCTAGGCTGCCGAAGTGGAACATGCGAACTTAACCACTGCGCCACCTGGCCAGCCCCTAAAGAATCTTCTTGCCAATATTTATTCATATTTTCTCTTCAATTCAACAGAAAGGAAAGTGTTGATGAACATTGACTAGGTAATTAGCCTCAAGTTACCACAGGATCCATTACACACACACACACGTTGAGGATGCAGAGCAACAGATATTCTCAAATTGCTGTGAGAGACTAACACCTTTCTGGAAAGTTCTTTAGTAACATATATTAACAATTTCAAAAAGATTCATAAAGTTTAACCTAGTAATTCCTCTCCCAGGGATGTCTCATGGAAGTAATTAGAATCTGAAGCAACGAACAAAGTTCACAGTCAAAGATGTTTGTCTCGGTGTATGACGCGCCACAGTAAAAGTCAGCAACTCTCCGGGAACCACGGAAATGGAAAACAGTGGGCTATTTCACAGCCATTTAAAATGAAGATGTTCTCACAATATACTTAACAAAAAGCAAGACACAAGAGAGTGTACATATTATGCCCTGAGTTTTCTTGAGACAAAAACAAAACGATTACATGTGCAGAGGGAAAAAAATGGAGGAAATGCAAGTTATTCACAGTTGATGGGATGAAGGAAGACTCTGCTTATGTTTCTGTGTTTCTCAAATTCTCTAACATAAATATGGGTCACATATTACAGGTCACGTGTCTCATTCACAATTATTCTTTCAGTTAAGTGATCTTTCAACTCACTGAGCACAGATGAAACTTCTAATGTGCTTCAGACCTGCTGTGATAAAGGTGCACGAGAACATTCCATATTAAGTATACACCACGTATCTTGTAAACCTGGAAGTTATTCCTCATAGCCACAGCAGTTACAAAGTGGGTAATACAAAGAAGGAGAAGAGAAAGAATAAAGAACACGCTTTGGACCAAAGGTGGGAACTAAGCTATGCATTTCTATGTCATTACTCCATATCACTCCCTTAGAATAATTTACCTCTACAGGTTTTATTTATTTTCACCCTATACTTTTGTTGACTTATATGCTCTATCTGCCAACTTATATGTATCAAGTTTTAACTATAGGACCTACTGACTCTCAGAACAAGCGAGCTCCCTCAGCCTAACAATGTGTTATATGTCTTTATTCAACACATGTTTTGTAAATGATAGTTCAATACACCATGAACTTAATTGTCAAAATTTAACTTCCTACAGGCCAAGGACTTAAAAAGTCTTGTCTTCCCCCTTCTCTCCACAATGAGGACCACACCTTTTGGAGGAGTTTTGAGTAAGTGTGCATGTGTTCTGGGCACCAGAGGCTTCAGATACAAGGATCCTGAGGAACCATTTTGAAATGCTGGTTTTGGAGGGTTTTCCTCATACTTGATGACAGTGGCATTACCAGCTGTAATAAAACAGAAAAGTACAGTTTTAATGGATAAATACAATATCAGTTTTCTGCAATTTATTCCTTCCTCCTTGACTCAACAAGTGCTCACTAAACACCTCCAATGAGGCAGTCATTACTGCACGTTAGGAGTACTAAGACTGATAACAGGTGATTCCCATCCTCGCGGATGCAAGGTGAGCAGGAACTCCTACATCCGCCCTGGAACAAAGCTGCAGAAGCCTCAAAGCTGCAACACAGAAGGGAATCCCACCTAAATAAGAAAAACCGTCTTTCATATTACACGTAAATCTTTCCTCTCTCACTCACACAGGAATCCTCTCTGGAAAAAAAATTGTTTGCAGGCCCTAAAAGAATTGCTAAAGAAAGGACTCTTGGAGAAATCTGGATGCTAACCAACTTTGCTTAGGCTGTGGTGTAATTCTGAGTCCACTACAGTTAACTAGGCAAAGGGGACTCCCACAGAAGTAGACCTCTACTATTTCCCAGGGAAAACATAAGGGTACAGGTGAGAGGGAAGAATTAAGAGAGCAAACACTACGCTTTAGGTATAATACGCCAGTGAGTCCTGGAAAGGGCATCTACTATTTCGCCACAGTCTCTGATTTTGCTTCTCTTCCTTCACTGGGATGCTAAAGACAACCTTAGCATATCAAGTGACAGCGACACTTTAGAATGAAGAACACAGCTTTCAAAAATAATGTGATAATTTTCTATCAGAATCAAAATTTGAAACCATGGAGAAACAATTACGGCAAAGCGTTCAGTAGATGACTAGCTTACTCTTATTTCTGCTTTTGCCCAATAATGACTGAAGACTTTGGCATCAAAAAACTAAATATCTTTCAGTTGCATAAGACAACTGTGTTGACCATATTTCTATAGGTTTTTCCTAAATTGTGAATTTCCTCTTGATATTTATGGCTTCCCATTGGATTAAAAAGGGAACCTGAATTTTCTACAGCATCTTTAAGATGTGTATTTGTACTTAGGGCAAGGAAAAGGGCAGAGGGAAAAGAAAGAGTAGGGCTTGTTCCTGCACTCTGAATTCCAAAGGAGAATGCACTTTCGCATTATATTTTTGTGGAAGGTGTATTTGATCCATAACGAGGGCCTATGAAATAGTGTTCCTCTGCTATGGTATGGTTAAGTGGACTCTGTGGCTACTTTAGGACTATAACCATCATTCCCGTCATTTATTGCCCTGTTTTGGGCAGAGAGAATGTACATTTCAAAATCTGATAGTGTCAAAAACCTTAGAGGAAAGGTTTGAAAAATAGTATCAGGCTGTAAAGAGAAAAACAGAAAAAACTTGTCTTAAATTTTATTAAGTGGGTAACTGCAGCAATGACCTAATTAAAGAAAAAAAAATCAGTATTTCCTTTAAAGAAAACCATTCTAAATTCATACTTTTCCTTTTACTACTCCATAAGAATAATCTTTGAAAAAGCACACTGTTCAGAAGCTTAGCTCCTACAAGGAATTTTACGAGTACTGTTTTGCTTTTCCTAAGAAATTATCATGTTATCATGTTATACAACACTCAAGAGTCTAAACACAGCACTTTGTGTTTCTCTCCATATCCAAGAAAAAACAAAAACCAAATAGAAATACTTGGAAAGTTTTCTGGTTCAATCTTCCTGTAAAGTTAACCTTTTTATCCATCTCCTCTTGTTGACCATAGAGACCACGTCTAAGGCACCCTACACTCACTCGCCACAGGCGAAATCTGGAGATTCATCTGTTCACTAACCAGTTTCCAAGCTTAATTTCCCCTCCACCAACCCAGATTGGATTTTTTATTGTTTGTTTCTAAATAGTCTTCAACACCCAGTTCTCAGCATCCAATTCTATTTTAATATTCAACACTTATAATCGTACATTTCTTTATTACCAACCTTGATCTCTCTCTTCATCTCACATTCTAGAAAGGGGCAAGATAGCTATCTTATTTACAAATATGTTATAAATTTGAAAATAGCTAGAAATTTTTCACCAGGCTGAACTATCCCAACTCCTACAACAGTGCTTACAGATGGCACAGTCAAACCCTTTATGTAAAAAGATGTTCTTCTCCCTTGATCTCCGTCAACTTCCTCTACTGTGAGCGATCTGTTCATTCTTCCTGTGCCCAGATAAGATTTTCAATATTAGGTCAAATCAACAGACAGCCTTCCATCCTACTGACAAGCCTCTGTCAATTCCCTACCCTTCTTTCTAATTCTTTCCTTCCCAGAACCCAGAGACTTGATTTTTCCAAAGTTGACAGGGAGCTAATGTAAGTGGTAATACTGAAGATGCTGCTCCTATAAAATTCATCACAAATTTTCAAAGGATGGATAGTGAGTGACTTCATAGTCTTAAAATAACAGAACCAAAATTTCATAGGACGTATTTTTTAGATTTTCGTATTAAATAGATATTGGGTTTCAATTAGCATTTTAGCTTTTGCTAAATCAACATCCAAAAAGTGAAGTAAATGAAGTTACTAGAGTCTTCATATATTATTATAACAATCTGGATTATAGTCTTACTTACTTGAACCATTTAAAAAATTATATTCAGCAGCAAATAAGTCACTTATTTAGATTTTGCAAACCGGAACTGAGTTTAATTTACAGCCCTAATATAAAATCGTATGATCCTAAATTCATGCTTTTCATTTCTAAGCTTTAAACACAAAGACTTTCAGTTTCCAAAGAACTTGGTAGAAGAATTTCTCACTAAAGCAAAAGACATTTCTCATGAGGCACAATACTCCTGTCCCCTGGCTCTCTGTCACACACAGAACAGGAGGTGTTGTCCTGGAAACAAACAGTCTCTCTGCCACTCTTCAGGCTCAACACAACACCTGATCCAGCACCAGATCTACCATCAACTTTGTAACACATGAGTGTCAAAATCCGTACTTCAAGGATAACATTTCTGAGTTTGACTCAGGTACAAACAGACACACAAACATTTACATCTATATGTAACATATTTATATATATATAAACACTCAGTATCTAAAAGCTCTCCTCTAAGCTGGCCCATTGCTTTCTAGTAAACATCAAGTTGAAGGATGTCCTTAACTATGAGTCATGATGCCCTTAAAGTATTTCTCCTGCCCTCGATTTCAGTTCCTAACGTGGCAGCTGGCTGGGTATCCTAGTGATTTCTAAGCTCTCTCTTGTCCAGAGTTATTATATCCAAACGAGAAACTCTTCTGTGGCGAAAGTTCCAATATAATAAGAGAAGCATATTAGTTTCAAGTAATGGAGTGGAATCCATAATAAGTGAGTTCTAGTTCCCACTTGGTTACCACCTAGCTGTGCTAAATCTCTTCACCTCTCTCTGTGTAACGAGTGGGTCTGAATATCAGGTATGGAAACAGCCAGTACATATGCTGTCATGGGGCTCCACTAACTGAGTATGGTATTCAGTCCCACTAAGGCCAAACACACCCTCAGAATCCTCCTAAACACAGTGCTCCAGGGAGCCATGACAACTCAGTGACAGCTGGTCTGCAGAGTCAATATGTGAAATTCCACACGTGGTCACCTAGGTCTCGGCCAGCTCTAACATAGTTTAAAACTGCCCATGCTCTATTGTCATCCTTGGTCCTAGCTGTCTCAATTAGACCAGAATAACAAATCCTCTGCAATCTTTATTTTTCATTTCCCCATGGTCAAAATGTGGTTCAAGTGAAATGAGAGAGAGAGAGATGACTGAATCTGAAGAGAAAATGAAGCGAGATTCTCAGAGACCCCTAAGCAGAAGAAATGATTTACCCATTAGAGAAGAGCTTCTCACTGTTCCAGACTTTTATTTGCAAACTAACATTTCATTCCACATTTTAGCATCTAGTTAACATTAGTTTTTGTTTTGTTATGACATTATGTAGATACACACAGAGCCAACATTCTGTTCATGTCTTGAATTTTCTGTGACTCCCCACTGTGCCAGATCATCTGTCCACCTGGCTTGAAATCAAATCACTACTGACGTCTAAGCTTTCAAATTCCAAGAGCAAAATTACTCAACTTTGCAATGACAAGAATGTCTCATATAAACCCTAGGAAAACAATAAAAGAATGAAAACAAAATTAATACCAGTCTGGATAATAGTATTTTCCTATTAAATAGTCCATGCAGACGTGCAGAAGCATTAAGCATGTTTGGTAATATACGGCCGGAGTATATGCTGTCTGCCTTTCATCCCTACCTCACCTACGGCAGACATCACTAGGCAAACACAAACCTTTGCTCTGAACCTGGAAGCAGCCTGAAAAACTTTCAGCTCTGTACTCCAGGTGATTCGTACCAACTAACCAGTATTGGCAGGTGAGACAATACCCAACTAACCATCCTGCAATGAGGAAGAGACTGCGTGTAAATAAGCCTAAACCTTCTCTCTACCAGCTTAATCACTTCAACAACTCAAAACATCCCCCTTCCAAACTCTTAGGCACCATCTTACTGTGGTGAAGAAAACAGAAGTGGTCAGAAACGTGTTGCTGCAAGGATTGTGGAGATGATCTAGTCCTCCCCACCCATTCATCAGGTGAGAAGACTGAGGCCGAGAGAGTGAACGATCGTCCAACTTCACATGAGTTAGCAGGAAAACTAGGAGGAGTCTGAGCTGAACGCCCTTTTCTACGTATCACACTGTCAGCACCTCGGCTGGCCACGAAGGTGAAAGAAAAGAATGTTCTATTTCTTTAGTTAACCTCCTCCTATTTCCAAGAGTGCAAACAGCTTTGGTGTGCATCTCTTACCTCTCCTCTCACCACCTGACTCTCAAAAAGAAACATATTTTTGTGGTCAAACTAGGAGGAGAAGGAAGCCCTTAGACTTCATATTCTCTAATGTGGCAAAACCATATGCTTTCCCGAGACGTCCCTCTACACTTGCACGATGGTCCTCAAACCTTCAGCTCTATTCGAGACCTACAATATATAATTCATTTTTATCTAATGATCTTAAAAGATCATTAGCTATCTGAGTTTGGAAGGGCTTATAAGGTTTAACCTCTATAAACGAGCACATTTGGCATAGAAACTACTGTGCCATGTTTCATGCTAATATCCAAAAGATAATCAATACCGTAACTTTAAAATCTTGTATGCTTAAAAGAATACACATAAAGGACAGGCTAAAACCTCCAAATAAGAGAAATTTATTGTCCTCCATATTCTGATTCAGTCATTTTAAAACCTGGCAATGCTATTTCTATAGGATTCCAAAGTATTAAGAGCTAGATGTTAATTTTACAACAGTACTATGAGATCTCAGGAGTTCTTAAATGATGCCATTAACAGTATCACATCACAAAGAAATGAGCAGACAAAGCAAGAACACATTCTTTAAAAGGGTTCAAATGCTTAATCCAATATGAATCAAAAGATTGTTTCCTAACATGACCCATTATTATCAGAAATAGGAAAATTTCAGTTCAAAAACATGATTTTCTTCATGTTTTAAGGTAATCTTTAAAAGTATTCATCTTTAATATTTTTGCATCTAACATAGTGAGTAAAATAATCAAAGAGGTGATGTTTTAATTCTAGGGAAGTATTTTTCCATACTTATAAAACTATAAGCTACACACACACAAACCACTATTTAATCAGAAATGAGACCATCGAATAATATTAGATAATAAAGTAATTTCATGTGCCAAGAATGTCAACAATGCTGCTGAATTATATTTGGTAAGAGTCCCCAAACACACAAGCTATCTAATAAAATTAATTCTAGATAGAATCATTCACAACTTAAATATAAACACGCCCTAAAATTACAATTAACAAATTACAAGTTATAAAAACAGCAATCAAGAGATGCTAGATCAATTTATTGAATAAAATTTAAGCATGCTTACAAAGAAAAGAATCAAACCAGAAATCGTTGACCTACTTCTTTTCCCAGTAAACGTGGCTAACAAAGGAACTATACAAAGGCTGTAGGATCCCAGGACCAGCAGTGTCAATAAGGTAGCATCATAGTGCCTCTCTGAACCAGCCGGTGGGGTGAGTGTAGAATTGATAAATATTTTTGAAGAAATATCCGTTTCTGTACAACTGCGAAATCCTCCTGGTACAGTCATTTAAAAGGATCAAAGCAAGCTTAAGCAGGAAAAACTGCAGCCATGTTCACTCTATATCCCTCATGCTTGCTCTTAGTGAATTAGAATGGAGGAAAAAAAATCTAAGCTCCGAGGCACTCCACGAAACGGATTAAACCAGCTAGCAAATCAAACTAAGAAAGAGACTCATTGATTTGAAAGCTTAATCTGCAAGAGAGACACATCGCCACTAGACAGGCTCTGTGGGTATACGGTAAACCCCTTTGTTAAAAGACAAAAAGGAATGGACAAAAGCATTTTACAACCTCCTTAGGAGTGTCAGACTCGGTGCTGGAACGGTGGCCAAGTCAACATGGCTGTCAATGGAGAGTGCTGGATAGCGGCACCACAGAACGTGCCTGCCTCCGAGTGTCACAAATTCCCTCGCTATACAGCCCTCTGAGAGCAGGCTGGTGACTCTGTTTCGGCAGTTTGTTTTTAAAACTTACATTGCAAACAGACAAAGCTGCAAGTGAAACGATCTTACGATAATACACGTGTGAATTATCTTTTCAAATTCACAGAGAATTATGCTACGTGCAAACCCTTCTGATCTCACGCCACAACTTCAAATTTCACACAATACACAGATAATAATCCTGCTTAATTTTAAGAAACATTTCAGTATTCCTAAAGTTCCAGTATCCAGCTCCTTACTATCATATAAGACCAGGGACTGCTGCTAGGTGACCCCTTGGAAATGTGCTCATTAATTCAGTCATTAATTCAATGCCTTAGCCTCCACAAACACATTCTCAATTCTGTCACAGGCTGGCTGAGAGCCCCTGGACCAGCGACAACCTCTCTGAGCCTCAATTACCTCACATACAAAATCAGACTAACAGCAGAAGTTGAGAGGAAAAAAAAAATATATATATATATATATGGTAACCCTATGATAGCAGTCCACACCCACAGCTTCAATAACCATGACTCCACTTTGTCCCTGTCCCTCACCAGAAAGAAGAAACTGATCCCTCTTTAAAATAGAGAGTGCTCCCCTCCTCCCCACACACCCTTACATCTTGTTGTACTTGGTACTCTAGTTATCTGCGTAAATATCTTCTTTCTCCTCAACTACTTCTTAGATAAGGACCACTTCTTCTACATCCTGTATCCCTCACGACATCCACTGTGGTGCCTGTACACAGCAGGCACTCCAAAATCGTCCATATTAATTCGTAACTTTAAAAAGGAAATGAGCAAATAAATACTAAGACCAAATACATCTTTGGAATGAAAGAGATAGCTCCATTAATTCACCCATTTTATACATAGAAAACAGAATTCACATTAGCTGAAAACTTTAAAAATATTCTCTTGCGTTTAAAGCACATAAAATTAGTCTTGAAGTTATACTATCCTAGTCCTATTACACTGAATCTAGCATTCAAAGTACAAGATTATAAAGCACGTTTACAAAATAAAGTGTTTTACAAAGCAAATGGAACTGAAGTTATCTTTTGTTCTGATTTCCAGCTGGGTTCCAATAGCCCCTAGATTGCTTTCTTTCCTTCAATAAACCAAAACACACCATCACTTCAAATGATACACTTTAGAATCCTTCATGCACAAGAAGAGCAGGTGCCTTCCACACATAACTATTCCAGTGTTTCACAGCACATCCATCAAAAGAGAACGTCACTGAAAGAATTTGTTTTTCCTGCCACTTTCAGAGCAGTTCCAAGGGAGAAACGATATGCACATTTTCCCCTAAATCACAGAACGAAAAATCCTGATAATTCTTTGTAGTACATTAGTTTTTTCTTATAAATGCAGTTTCACCAACCTTCCAAGTCTGACATGAGAGCGACTTACGATTATTGCTGTGAGTGCTCAGATCGCTGTGGGTGCTGGCCAGGGAGGAGGTGCTGCCCGTTCTGCGCAGGGCAGAACTTTTCAACGACGCTTTGGATCTAGGAAGCGGTCTAGGCAAATTCACCCAAGACAGCTGTGCAGTTTTCAAGGATGTAGGTTTCCCTTGGGGTTTAAAAAAAAAAAAAAAAAGGTTTCCACTGCCATCCATTTCGAAAGCTTTCGGCTTGTAAACTCAAGCTCTTGTATTAACAAACTGAGTCAAAATGCAAAATGAATATTCAGAATCATGGAACTTCAGCTGAAATCTTCACATCGACTTGTTTATTCATTTTTGGTAAGTAGAGGCAGAAGAACAGAGATGATGACGAGGAATCAGGATAGGAGAAGGGCGACAGCAACCCTGTAATGTGACGTGATGAACTCACGTCTTTTGTGACACAGTTATCAGAAAGGTCACTTGAGATAGAAGCTTTTGGCAAAGTTGAAATCAAAGAATAAACAAATTGATATGACATCCCCCCATAAGAGTTATGAAAAAGTAAACAAATCAGTGCATTCACATACTAGGCTACCATATAAAAAATAGGTGAAAATTTAAAAAACAGGAAGGAAGAAAAATTCAACTTGATGAGAAAAACTTCGTTTAAAAAATGCCTAATGCCTAACACCAGATGGTGCTATATTATTAATATTCTTTTTTGATCTCATCTTTACTACTTATTTGCCAAACTTAAATGGTCTTCTCTTTCTTGCAGCAAGTCTTTCCACTTAACAAAATATGTATGCTTCATATTCTCTAGCATCTTTGAAACCACACTATTCTGACGCTCACAAGTGCTACTGACTGTGGGCATTTCCCAAGTTCGAGCTTTTACTCACAACTTTCTTCATACCCATCTCTCCTGGCGAGTTTATTATTTACTTTACTCTAACCACTGCCCTGTATGGATGCATCCCAAATTCTTACCTGCAGCCCCATCCTCCTTCTGAATCCCAACACCACTCACATTTTAAATTCCTTGCTGAATGTTTCAACTTGGACAATCAGACAACCTCCTACCTTCTTATGCTAATTACAACTCCATTTTTCCTATTTCCCAGCCCCAAAACTTTGAAATCACCTTTTTCCCCCTAGATTCCCATACAATCTAGCACCAAGTCTCTCAATGCCACTAGTATTCACATAACTGAAGAATATCAAGAGTTGAAAAAGACCTTAGATGAAAATGATAGTATCACATATTACAAATGGCGCCTTGAGTAATTTTTTCCAGAAAGTAATCTTCATTGCTTTGTCCCAGTGATATCACTTATAAAAATCTCATCTTAACAGAGAAAAAGGAACTTAAGGTCCTCAGGTCTGGCAGTTAAAGTCACCCACATTGAAGCTCTACCTGTCTCCACAGCCTTACCCCTACACTATTCTCGTACATAAGTATGCACTCTGCTCCAAGCAACGTAGTTTCCTGACACCAGGATGTACTATTCTAATTGACTGTGCACATTGTTTCTTTTCACAGAGGTGGTCTTCTCAATCCAAATCCCACAAATCCTTATTCCCCACCTTATATTTTGCCCAAACAACTGTATTTGACTCCTAAAGTCCTGTCCTTCCATTCTTTCCAACTCCATCGTGTTGATCTCCTGACCGTGAAAACCAAGGTCATGACCCAATCTAAAATCTGTGATTCCCCATTATGTACAGGATGATCTTATTTTTAATCCTCAATATTTAATTTTAAAGGCATAAAAGACAGTCTTAGGGTTGATACCTACCAACTTTCCCTTATGCTTTTTCCATGCCCCTACCCCTCTACACACATCCACACCTTATTTTTATTTATCCAGAAAGTTTTCCTCTATTCTTCTGCTTATGCCCATCTTTGTGAATGAAATGGCCTCCTTTCCATCTAGTTCCCTATCTTGCCTGGTGAATACAAAGTCACTTGAAGTTTTTTTTAAATCCTTGCCACTTATCTGCAGCCCCATCTCAGATCGACTGAATCACAATCTCCATTTTAACAAGACTCCCAGGTGATTCAAACTCACACTAAGTATGAGAAGTACTGTTGAGAATGACCTCTTCATAAAGCCTTTCCTGCCAGGACACTCTCCTTTCTGTGCAAAGGACCACACCTTCCTTTCCGCTCATCCTTTCTGCTCATACCGATACTCGCTTCCATCACAGCATCTGTTTCAACACAGCCGTCTCTCAGACTAGTCTCTATCATCCCTGAGAACAGGAAGGGAAGCTGATTCCATTCTGTCCCTTAGGACCTAACAAAGTGTCTGGCATGGAGTGAGACTTAATAAATGTTTGCTGAAGGAATTAATTTTTCTTCTAAGGTCAAGAGTAGGGTAGAGAAATAAGGAGACATTGGTAAAAGGGCACAAATTTTCAGCTAAAGATGAATAAGGTCTCAGGACCTAATGTAAAACAGGGTGACTATAGTTGATAACACTCTATTGTAGAATCAAAATTTGCTAAGAGAGAACTTAAATGTTTTCACCAAAAAAAAAAAAAAAAGATAAACATGAGATGATGGATGTGTTAATTAACTTGATGGTAGGAGTCCTTTCACAATGTGTACATATACGTATACCAAATCACCACAATGTACACTTTAAATTTCTTACAATTTTGTCAATTATACATCCATAAAGCTGGAAAAAATAAATGTGGAATTATAATGATAATAGTAATAAAGCTATTAAAATTTTTTAAAGGCCAAGAGTAAATAAATTTTAAAATGTCTTCTCTCATCTACATTGAAGCATTAAATACTTAACCAATTTTTACAAGCTTATTTGTCCTTTGTTAATATTAATGGTCTTTCAAACAGTCTATTAGTTAGATAAAGGGAGACATTTTTCTTGACCTTCCTTATAATAATTAGCAAATAATAGTTATTCAAATATCCATTTGATTTTTTAATTTATATTTAGCCACTGGTTTTACCCACTTTTGAAGGTATAGAAAAACAGAATTTTAGAATATAAATTTACCAAATTGCTGCCCCTTCAGCAAAAACATTCTGATGAGTCATCATTATCTGAAACAATGAGTGAGGATGGACAAGTCACAGGTGAAAATTTCTGGGCCACAGCCACAATGCAGTCAAGGCTCAACAAGTTTGGAAAATTACCTTATTTTTCAGAAAGGGATATTTCACAGCATTGTTTCTGAAAGCATCATAGGTTATGGACATTTCTCAGTATGTCTCAGAATTACAGACCTGTACCCTGTCTGATTCCAACACAGACACAGCCTGGCACCAGAACCAAGCTTACCCCCAAGCCCAATTACCACTCCCCTGACCCACCCTATCCCATTTCATATACTGTCACCTCCATCCAGCCCCACCCCCTCCACCTAATGGCAACTTGTATTCCTAGCCAGTCTTCCCCATTCTACCATTACTCTTGACTAACAGCACTGAGGGCTCTGAGCGATGCCCACTTCACCAAAGGATTAGTGCCTTTGAAACTCAGAATAATCCTAACAGCACACTACCGTTGTTATCCCCAGTTTATAGGATTAGCTCCTTTGAGACTAAGAATAATCCTAACAGTGCATTACTGTTACTATCCCCAGTTCATAGTTGAGAAAACTTCCTAGGTGGTTCAATGGCTTATTCGAGTCACATCCCTATAAGCAGTGAGAGAGAGGCCTAGAATGCAGGCAACATACCCCCAACCCAGTGTTCCCTCCACTGTGCCAGGGAACAGAAGCATCCCAGTTAAGGGAAGAAGTGTTAGGCCTGGAGGCCAACCTGAGCTCCTCCTCTTACTAAGAGGGTGGGTGCTCCTATAGTGCAATGTGAAAAACGGTGGGGATACAACAAAGGTATTTGACCCTTTCACCGACAGTCCTCATGTTTAACTTAACAGCCAAGTTGACTTAAGGTACCTGTAATTGGACTTCATACAGGGCAGCAGTAAAACAAATACATCAGAAGCAATACTAAATGACAGGCAGAGCAATGTTGGAGTGAGAGACTGTGAGTAACCTGAGCATCAAATTCTTAATGAAATCAATACAGGACTGGCTCCGACTTACACTTCTGACAAGGTGACATTCATCAGTTCCCTTCACATCATGTCACTTTTCCCAGATGTGAACCACAAAAACTGAAGATCTACCTGCAGAGATATTACCGACCTTAGTGGCTTATTTTAAGCTCATTCTATTAGCATAAACTTACAGATAGACAACAGATTTGTTTTGATCTATAATTATAACCATCTTTTGTCTAGGGAAAGTATGAAAGAAACAACATTTGCACTTTGTCTTCGATAGTAACACAGAGTCTACTGGATTTGAAGCACACCTTCATCAAACAAGCAATTTACACAGACAACCACCTTGGAAAACCCAATCAAACGTACAATAAAAAAAATCATTAGGGGCTGGCCCCATGGCCAAGTGGTTGGGTCTGTGTGCTCTGCTTTGGTGGCCCAGGGTTCACTGGTTCAGATCCTAGGCTCAGACCTACACATCACTCATCAAGCCGTGCTGTGGTGGCATCCCACATAGAAGAACTAGAATGACCTACAGCTAGGATACACAACTGTGCACTGGGGCTTTGGGGAGGGAAAAAAAAAATCATTAAGGAATGCCTTGCAAAGCTAAAAACCTTAGATTTATTAAGGGAAAAAAAGGACAATGTTAATATTATCCAATTTTTTTAAGTTTATATTATCTATATATTGAAAAATTATAGGATATACCAGAATTTTATGGGACTACTATGGTATAGCACAGGGGGACATGGAGGAAAATAGAAGGACAGGAGCAGGACTGGGAAGTTTCCCTTCATACTTTATAACTTACATATTACTCCATGTGAATTTTCTTTTCTTTTCTTTTTTTTTTTTAAAGATTGGCACCTGAGCTATCAGTTGCCAATCTTTTTTTTTCTCTCCAAATCCCCTCAGTAACATAGTTGTATATTTTAGTTGTGGGTCCTTAATAGTTGTGGCATGTGGGACACTGCCTCAATGTGGCCTGACGAGCAGTGCCATGCCCATGCCCAGGATCCGAACCAGCGAAACCCTGGGCCGCTGAAGCAGAGCACATGAACTTCACCATTCGGCCATGGGGCCGGCCCCAGAATTTTCTTTTTAAAATAGGCATATTTTTATAACAAAAACTGATATAT